CAAAAAAGTTTCCGGGCTAGATTTTGCAGAGAAGAGAATAGGCTTCATATCCAGGAACAAATATCCCAGTTTCTTGATCAATCAAAAAGGAAGACAATCCCCCTTTATTGAGGAGAATGAGCAGAGATTTTGATTGGAATTTGCAGAGAAAATTCGTTGAAGTCCACGGAGGTTTAAGATGTATGGGAGGGTATAAGGAGCAGTTCGTTGAGAAAGGAAACAGATGATTCATGAGAGATAAGTAAGTGGGCGTTTCGAAGAAAGAGATGAGACCTGTGTCTAGCTCTACATAAGACTCTCTCTCCTCCCCCCTGTTATGCCACACCTCTCTCTCTCTCTAACCACTGTTGTGGCCACCTCTCTCTCTCTCTCTTTCTTATCTCTCCTCCCCCTTCACTTCCGCTTCACGCCTTGTCGTTGCTGCAGTGGTCTCTCTCTCTCTCTCGCTCTCTCTATCTTTCCATCTCCCTTACAATCTTTTCGGCCTCTGTATTTAACCGCCTGTTTGTTTGGCCATTACAAATTGTGCATATCAATGAAATGGTGAACGATTATACTGTGCTGCAGTATCTAAAAAACCCGGATCCGTAGGGTGGATCGTCCACCCCACAATCCGTGTTTGGAAATGCCGGATCGTCGTTTGGGATCACTATGAATTGGTGATTTACAAAATATTAAAATTTAGAATTTAGAAAAGGAAAAAGTTTACGTACGGTTGCAACCTTAAAATATAGAACTAAAGATGCACCTTAAAAATCTATCGAAAATGTTGTTTTAATGTTGAAAAACCCTCTAATTGGTAATCTCGACATTGAGATGGATGGATCTGGAAAAAAAAAAAAAGGTTTTTGAGTCATCAAAATAGTGCATCTTGCGACACATTATCTAGACCGTTAATTATCAAGATTTTGATATGTTTATGGATCTACTTGCTTTTAATCATTTTTGTAGTTTAAATTTTTTTAATTAATATGAAAATAGATTTTAAAATAATCATAATAATTTTTTACAACAAAATTACATGTTATGATAAAACTTGGAGGTGCACCTTAATTGGATATAATTTTGTTGTAAAAAAAGATGGCCAATAAGATCTTTATCAAATTTGCCATAGATCCCAAAAGCTCATCATCTAATTCATGCACCCCATCAATAACCATTCCAATATACTTTGGATGGAAATGACAGTCACCTACAAGGCCTTCCAAGACCTTATTCCATACAACTTAATACACATTCAGGTATGTCTTAGTAATAAAAATGATCACTAGGAAGTACTATTCAAATTTCAACTTAAAATTATTAATTTATTGTTATATTTTAGTTATAGTTTAATAAATTTGCATATAATTATTCTATTTTTATATATTAATTTATCAATAATTGTTTAAATTATTGTAACTAATTACTTTGTTATAATAACTAATAATAGTACTAATTATTATAAAGTTCATGTGACAAATATATGTGCAGTTAATTATACAAAAAATATAATTGAAATTTACAAAAGTATTCAAAATCCTAATAAAATATTATGAATATCTCATAATCATATAAGCATAACTTTGCAATTAGTTATTAAGAGTAAAAAAAATTCTAATATTATCTATAGAATTTATTATATTAATTAGTTTAGCTTCCCTTTAATAAAGGGAAAAGTTTATATAGAGTTTATACTCTAAACAATCAAATTATAGCCTACCTCAAAAATTTCACTAGAAGAGATTGTTTTGATGCTCAAATATCCTCAAATTAATCAGCTCGACGTCAAAATGTATGGACATGAGAAAAAAATGGATTTCAAGTTTTGGAAATAGTGCATTTTATAATGTATTTTTGGACCTTCAATTTTCAAGATTTTAATAAATTTGGCGATCTACACTATTTTTTAAACTTTCAACTTTATAAATAAACATGGAAATATATTTTAAGGCTATCACAAATATTTCTACTGTTGAGACCACATTTCTCAACACTATTTGAAAGTAGGCTTGTTTAGAGCCTAGGCTCTAGACAAACCGTACCCTTTAATAATTTTATTTGAAATTGGATTATAGTCATAATATTATCTTCTCTAAGTTATTAAGATATCAATTTTTATATCTTGTTTGATATTCCGTTACATAGTATCAAGAGGAAGGCATATATATCATTTTATTTTTTTTTGGCATGTATACCACCTCTATTATGAGTTTTTATTGCAATAAATATGTAATTATCATGGGTTGTTTATTGCACATATCATGTGAAACATTTTTTGCAACTTTATTTTTTCAAAATTTTAGAATAATATTTATTTATAAGTAAAAAAATTTGTTTACTAACATTATATTAAAGTAATTTTAATTATTCTAAAAAATAATATAATTAAAAATAAGAAAAAATAAAAGATAAAACACAAAAGTAATTAACCAAAAATATAAAAATACAATTTTTATTATTTATGTGTTTTTCTTTTTTGCATTTTAAATTTATCCAGTTTTAAAAATAATATTTACTTACAACTAAATAATATATTTACATAAAAATAATTTTATTTATATTAGTGAATGATATAATTGCATATATAAAAAAAGGGAAACAAGATAGTAATGAACGGTAACTACAAATTAGATATGTAAATAATGTAATTGAAATTATTTTTAAGAAAATAATTACCTCAAATGCAAGGCATTGATACAATTATAATCATATTTTGAAATTTATGTGATATAAAGTTTTTCTAATTATCTAGAAGAATATTTACTCACCAGTAAATAATAAATTTATTAATATGAATAATAATAAATTTAAAGTAGGTTATAAAATAATATAATTTAAATGTAAGCTTTATAAGTTTATCCTACAACATAAAACTTATATACTTCCCCTTATCCAACCGTCCATTATGAATGGAGGGCTGAGATTGCCACAATCACAATGCTACGTCTGAGATTGCCACAATCACAATGCTACGTCTCTACACTATTTTATTTTTAATTTATTTTCTATAAACTATTTTGACACTAAAATTTGGACATCCAATCTTCCATTAAACTTGCACTAGCGAAAAATATAAAAATTATATTTCCAATGAAATAAAATAACCAAAATACCTCTGAAAGTTTCAAGAGGTATTTTGGTCATTATATTTTATCGAAAATTTATTTTAATATTTTTTATAGGTGCACCAATGAGAAGATGGAACGTACAAAATTTCATAATTATAAAATTTGTATAAAAAAAACTAAAAATAAAATACTTTGAGACGTCGAATCTAATATCAGACGGTGAGTGGCTATCTTGATCAAAATTGGACGGCTGGATGGTAGGGGAAGCATAGATCTTATATGTTGTATGGGAAGTATAAAAACATTTCCCATAACGTATTTTCTAATAGAAGTCCGCACGTGAATATGGATCAACAAATTATCTCCTTTTATAACTCTTTATAAGCGAACATGCGAGTTTAAGATTGAAAATATATTTTAGGAAAATTATGGCTGATATACCTAAATTTTTGAAACATTGGAAAAAAACTCCTAACTTTCCAAAACCTCGACCACACCCTTTTGGACCATTTTCATGTTTTTTCGGACTAAACTACCCTTTACAGTAGTTTTTGTACCATAATAAAAATTACGAGATTAAAAATGCCGTAATAAACTGATAATAGTACTATTAATACCGTTATGTTTTAACTATGCATTACAATACTATTAGTAGGGTAATACTTATAAAATTCTTTACCGTACTACTTGTACCATAAAACTTATTTTTAAAGTGAAAAACAATTACGATACTTATAGTACCGTAATCTCTTAAATAATGAACTATCTATGCAACTTACCCCCAGCACAATTTTTTCTCACACTTCTTTCCCTTAAACAACATTTCCTCGCAAAACCCCCCAAGGTAAAAAGTTCTTAATTTTTGGACGGAAATTCCCTTCCCATACAAACCAAATCAATTCGTGATCCCAAATAGAGAAGTGCCGGAGCGCAATATACTACTGCCGGAGTGGAATGTCAAGAAGCACCGCCAGAGCACTGTGCTACATTGCTGAAGCGAACTGCTGGAGTGTCTATTTCAGTGCCGGAGCACATTCTCAGATTGCCGGAGCGGATGGCCAGAGCGTGCAATATCACTGCCGGAGTGCAGTTCTTAGTATGTCGGAGCAATGCGGGTTAGACAAAGCATTGCTGAAGTGCACATTGTGACTGCCGGAGTGCATATTAAGACTGCTGAAGCGCAGTCCTCCATTGTCGGAGCCGAAGGCCGTGTTAAAAGAAACAGGCGAGAAGGCCGTGTGAAAAGAAATGAGGGTATTTTAGTCTTATTTTATATTACTATTGGGTTGGAGGGTTTTTACGAGGAAGGGTTATTTGGGGGAAAAAAGTGTAAAAAAAAATTGAGGTGGGGTAAGTTGCGTAGATAGTATATTTTAGGGTGTATTTTGTAATTTTTTCTAATTATTTTCACTTTAAACCACAAATAAGTATTACAGTACGAGTTGTACTATAAATAATTTTACAAGTATTACAATACTAATAGTACCATAATACATAATTACAATACTAATAGTACCATAATACATAATTAGAACATAAAGGTACTAATAGTATCGTTATCAGTTTATTGCGGTATTTTCAATACCGTAATTCTTATTACGGTACAAAGACTACTGTAAAAGGTAGTTTCGTTCGAAAAAACACGAAAAATGGTCCAAAAGGGTGTGGTCGAGGTGTTGAAAAGTTAGAGGTTGTTTTTCAATTTTTCAAAAATTTAAGTATATTAACAATAATTTCCCTATATTTTAGCCACTAATATTTAGTACACTTGCAACACATGCATATCCCTTGGTTTTTTTCTTTTTTTTCAATATATATTTTTATTATTTATATATATTATATATGCAAATATATAATTTTTTTATATTAAATTAAAAAGAAACCGAACCGAAGAATCCTAAGCGAATTTGCTTGGTAAATCACATAATGAATTGTTTAATAATGAAGTCCCGCTCAAACAAAGAAAAAAGAGATTTCACTCTGTATTTTCATTTTCTTTAGAGAGAGAAATTATTAGGTACATTATCTCTCTTCACTCCCATGTATCTGCAGAGATAGTGTTTTACACTCTCAGAGATCATCTCTCTGAAGAGAGAGAGGGAGGGAGGGAGTCTCTTTTATGTTACCTGCACTCACGTGTATCGCTATTTCCATTTGTTAGTCATCTCCATTAATGGATTCAGACGAAGAAGAGAGAATCCCTTTCAGAAAAAGGAAGGAATGGTCTGATATCAAACCAGTGCCCCAAGACGATGGCCCCGGTCCTGTGGTTCCTATCGCTTACGAAGAAGATTTCATAGAAGCCATGGATTACTTTCGAGCCATCTTCCTTGCTGATGAGCGAAGCCCTCGGTCGCTTGCCCTAACTTCTGAGGTCATCACCATGAATCCGGGCAATTACACTGTACGTATGCTAATTTATTTGGTTTTTATTGATAGAATTAGGTTACCTTGATGTAGTTTTCTAGTCGGTTCTTTGAATTATAGCACTTTTGAATCCAGTTGCATCAAGGTTCGTGGTCGTGGATTAATGGAGTTTTATTGGTAGGTTTACTTAAATTTTCTTAAAAGATTACGTGAATTTGATGTAGGGTTATGTTTGGTTTTTTATGAAACTGTAACGTTGTTACTTCTAGTTACTTCCAGATTTATGAATATCGCCATGATCCAGGCATTTGCACTGTAAATATACATAATTGAGTTGATTTTATGGAAAATATTCAGTTAACTTGAGGCAGTTTTATTGTTGTTTCTTTGAATTATGGCACTATTGAATCCAGCTGTATTAAGGGTTTTGGTTGTGGGTTAATGGAGTTTTATCGGTAGGTCAAATTAATTTTTCTTAAAATTTCAGTGGATTTGATGTAGGTTTATGATAGGTTTGTGATGAAATTATAACATTATTGCTTCTGGTTGCATCCAGATTTAGGGTTATAGATCAGAGGGGTTTAATGGTGGGTTTTGATTTGTGTTAAATTGTCAGAAGTCCTTAGCATCTATCTTTTATGCCCAATTCTTTATATTATCGTTGGATTTTATATGATTATTGATCTAGTAGGACTGTGAGCACTACCAATCGAGAGGAGTTTCAACTTACTTTAGCAAATTGGTCACCACTGCCGTAGATTGGGATGCCTCCGTTGTGTTTATTTTTTCTTGGGCCAACTTTCTATGGATCCCCATGTACATGTAATTTATACGTGTATGGGGACAAGATCCCCATGTACATGTAATTTATAGGTATATGGGGACAGGTGATAACAGCTGTTCCATCTTTGATTGGATGGTTGGCCTTGAGCCAACAAGTCACACATCAATTGTGGCCCGACAAGAACAATTCCAACTAGCGATTTGATCAAACAGCTGTTGATCCCCAGACGCACAGAAATTTTTGTGTGTATGGGTACTTAAGTTTGCCCATTGTCAGACCATAGTCATAAGGGTGAGGTTTGTATAAGGTGTAAACCTTTTACTATTGAAGTAAGGTGCACCTCAAAGCTATGCTAAAAATGCAGTTTCAGTGCCGTAGAGCTTTGCGATGATATGAAAATCTATTGTTGCCCCCAATTATGAAATTTAAAGGTCTGACGATCAAGCAGATTTATAAATACTTGAAAATGGACGGTCAGATAATATGTTATAAGATGAACTATTTTTAGGACTAGAAATCATATTTTTTCATGTCTATGAACCTTGAGGTCGAGATGATCGATTGGAGAGTTTTCCATTGTGGGAACAACCTTCTCTAGAGGGTTTTTTAGGTACAATATAAGGTTGACACGCTACATAAACTTTTTCCTAGTCATAATCAAGCATTGCCCACGTGAAACAGGGGCATGGCCCATGGAATGTTGGTCCAATGGCGAACTTTTTTGGTTTTCTACTAATTAGCCTCCAAGTCCTTGAATCTCACAGTTGTTGGAAGGATTCTTCCCGCTGAAAATTGGGAGATGCTTAGGGATTTCCAAGCCCCAAATCCTTTATAGTTTCTTCCCCAAACATCTCATATGAGGACCCCATATATGGCCAAGGATTAAATAAGAGATCAATGTCAAAACCATCGCCTATGAGCTATTGGCTATTTCCTTTCATTAATGAGAAATGGTTAGGGATCAAACATCTTGTACGAAGACCCCTAACTTGGCCAAGTATCAAATAAAAAATCAATACTAGAACCATCTAATATTCAAAATGTTTAGCAAAGAAATAATAGGAAAGTAATTATCTGGCAGTTCCAGTTCATATGTTTTATATGGTAAGTACCTTATGCATATTATGGCCCATTAAGTATATATTGGACTGAATTCATAAAGTATGTTGCCTCTTCTTTGAGGTCCATCATTGTCCTCTTTTGGACCACTATTGTAGCAATCCATATTGAAGTTGGCAAAATTTGTAAAATAATGAGACTGAGGAAGCCTGCCGACTAATTTCTAGTCTTCAATATGTCTTCACTGTCCAGAATAGTGTAATATTCAATCATGGGGAGTCCTAGTAGAAAGGGTAACTTCTCTGTCAAATCTTTATATACTCACCCTTTCAAAAAGCCAAGTAGGGAATTTACATCTCGATTAGGCACCATACTCCCTTTCGATAATCTTTTTAGTTAGAATCTCATGTTCCTCTTCAGGAGTTAATTCTATAGGGAGCTCCTTCTCAATGCCTGTGAAGAATTGTGGGGTTAACACCTAATGGCCTTATGACCTGTTTTGATGGTGCAGCAATTCCAAAATACTATAAAAGGAAAATCCGGCATTCTGGGAAGGTCCAGGATCAGGTGACGCACTGTGCGTTGTCCAACAGAGAGTGACGGACGATACGAGGTGCATTGTCTAGCTTTTTATGGCATGTCTGGCCTTAGACAATGCAGTCTGCATCGTCTTCGGCAACCAGTCAGATGACGTGCAGTGCATTGTCTTTAGAACCAGGGCCCCGGAACTGTGCTTTTCCCTGTCTCCACCGCCTGGTGGCTGTTCGAGAGGGTTTGGTTCTCAGCCTGGAGGCTCAAGGCACCACGCAGGACTCAAGCCTTTGTTTGGCGTGCCACATTAGATAAAGCAATCTCGACTTATTACCTGCAATGTAACGGATCTTGTAATTCCGAATTAATGTAACATGTGAAAAAAGAATGTTGTTAATCATCCACTCATTTACTGTGATGTGGTCAATAATATACTATGGCATCTCTGTCTTTTTTCTTTTTTTGTCTATAATATCCCTGGTTTTGTAGGGACACTTCCTGTTGTTTTGATGTGAACAAGCTGTGTTACGTTCAGATTACAAGAATAAAGGAAGTTCTCATGGAAGGAATACTAAATGAGCAGAAAACCCACCCTTCATGATCACATTACCCTTTTGATCACGTCAGTCTTTAGAGAATATAAATATAAAAGCTATTACATCGGTAACTATGGAGACATTTGGTATTCCTACCTAGACTTATTCATGTTTTCATGGGTGTGCCGCCCTCAATGCTATCTCTAATCCAACAATTGTTGTCACATCAACTCCCTCCAAGGGCTTCATTCTTTGGAGAATAGGACCAATAGGTACGGTCACCTTACTCCAGTCGCTATGGACAATGAAATCGAAGAACATTCCAAGTCTTATTATGGGGACATTGCGCATTGAAGATTGAGTAAAATTGGTGGTATAGGTGGGTCCTAACCAAAAAAGAAATTACGGGATTTCCCAGGATCTGATTTGGATAGCTAATGACAGTTATCGTGTGGAGTGCTTCTCTTAAATGGTCTCGACAATCTAACTGGCAACCACCAGCTGAAGAAGTTATCAAATTAAACTTCACCAGTAGCTCTGTGGAAATCTTGGCTCTGCTAGAGCTAGTGGAGTCCACTTCTAGAGAGAAATATATCCACATTTGTCCGGCCAGCAAATGCAATTAAAATGAAGTGGGTGGCTCAAGTCCTTGTCTTAGGCAATTGCAATATCTGTAGACTGTAGAATGGAACTAAGGTGGGGTCTTGGAAGGCTTAGAATATCCTAGGGCGGGGATTCTGACCATACAATAAATATAATAAATTTTTTGAAAAGTTGAATTTATATTTCTTAAAAATCCAATTATTTTATAATATTTCATTTCCTGTATCTTAATTCATGTAATAGAATACCACCACAAAATTAAAAAACTTAAACATGTTGAGGCATAACAAGAAAAGTGATGCACCAAACTTTTGACTAGTCAAGAAAGCTCTCATGGGCTTTTTGACTAGTCAAGAAAGCTCTCAGTGGGCAAAGCTTGATTTTTTTTGAATATGTTATCTGTTCTATTTATAAGAAAATAGGTTACAAGAGAGTGTAGAGACACACCCACAAGCCGGGGCTCTAGCCAAAAAAATAGGCTTACCAAGGAATGGTAACCCTATAAAAAAAATGGCGTTACATCATATAAGTTAACCCAAGTAAATATAGACAAAAATACAGGGAAATAAGCTGTGAAATCTCAAAAGGTCATGCTGTGCTGTTGAGGGCTCTGTCCTTAGCTAGGATGTCTGCTAGGGCGTTGCATTCCCATCAAGTATGCCTCCAAAAGACGACCATATCCCTACAAAGGTGAGTAATTTCATTAAATAACGGGGCAAGGTACTAGGGACAAGGTGAGGAGCTAGATGCCCAGGAAATAATATTTTTGGTGTCTCCTTCGACAATTAGGGGTTGATCTCAAGAGGAACTCGAAGAGCTTAAGGCCGGAGAGAAGGGCCATGGACTCAGCGAGCTGGGAGTCGGCGTAGCCAATATGGTTGGAGAAAGAAACCAAAGAACCAAAGTGCATCCTTCATGGTCCCTAAAGGTGCCACCTACACCGGCTGTGCCAGGGTTGCCGAGAGAGCACCCATCAAAATTAGGCTTTGTTTGGCCCCAGGGGATGGGGGGGGGGGTCCAATGGTTAGCTTGGGAAATGCGCGGCGAGCGGGAGCTAAGCAAGGATTGCCAATTTAGAAGGAAAGAAGAGGAGGGGATGCTCTTGAATCTCTTGTGGTTGGTGGCCCAAAAAATGACCAATGAGGTTATCTTGTTAAAGAGAACTGGCGTGGTTAGTTTGTCTCCTTGGAAGATTCTCGAGTTTCTTTCGGTCCATAAGACCAAACCGGGGCTGCTACTGAGGCCTTCCACAACATCCTTTCAGCTTTAGGCCAAGGGGTGACGAGGGTCATTCTGAAAAGAGCCGGAATTGATGGGGGGGTGACCCATTGCCAACCAAACAGTTGAAGAAGAATGTTCCAAAGGTCCTGGGCAAGCTGGCAATGAAGAAAGAGGTTGGGGTTACTTTCTTCCTCCACTAGGCACATGACGCACCTGTTGGGGATAGGGAGGCCTCTGCGTTGAAAATGGTCTACAGTTAGGGCCTTTTCAGAGAGGGGAATTCACACTAGAGCTTGGATTTTAGGGGGGGCAATGGATGACCAGGCCTGAGCGATAATAGAAGTTGGAGCTAACAGGAAGGTAGGTGGCAAAAGAAGTTTCTTATGGAAGGTAGAAATGGTGAAGCAACCCGAGGGGAAGGGGGTCCAAATAATTTGATCCAACCTGGTCGGGGCCAGGAAGGTTGAATGGAGCAGGTTGGAAGGTTAATGAAATCTGCAATTTTGAGATCCAAAAGAGATTGCCTGAAAGAGGGATTCCAGACTCTGCTTAGGTCAAGGAGGGGCATTTTGTCGGCAACCGAAGATGATTTGTTTAGGGACAGGGAGAAAAGGGTAGAGAAGCGGTCCATCAGGGAGTATGGCCTATCCACAGGTCGGACCAAAAGCAAACACGATGTCCCTCCCTGGGGTGGAACCTAATCAATCTATGGAAGGGATTGAAGCAACGGATGGCCTTCCTTCGGCTGCTAGATGGCCTTTCTTCGGGTCTGCTAGATGTCTGCTAGATGGCCTTCCTTCGGGTAGCCATTCATTGGATTGAAGGCGGTATTTGCAGCGGATGACTTGAATTCAAAGCAAATTATCTTGTGTTGCAAGGCGCCACCACATTTTCCAAGCTAAGCCGAATTCTGTTTTCACAAGAGCCTTATACCAAGCCCCCCTAACTGTTTCAGTTGCCATACTCTCTCCCACTAGATGAGGTGGTCATGAAGGATTTCCATGCCCCAGAGGGTCTTCCTTCGGGTAGCCATTCGTTGGATTGAATGCGGTATTTGCAGCGGATGACTGGAATCCAAAGCAAATTATTTGCGAGGTGCCACCACCATTTTCCAGGCAAAGCCGAATTCTGGTTTTGCAAGAGCTGTATACCAAGGCCCCCTAACTGGTTTGGTTGGCATACTTTCTCCCATGAAATGGGGGCAAAGCTTGATTATGACAATGGTATTCTGAATAGAACTTTATATCAGCTACAATTTGGGTACATATTATGCTTTGATATGATTGCATGTCTAATTCTCAATGCACAATGTTATACAGCATTTATAATTCATAACTTTTGTAACTCTTGATTTGATATAACTGTATGTGTTATTTATTAATAAATGTATGGGAGAAATTTACAGTGCACATTCCCAACACTAGTTGTATTTAAGTAACAATTGGTTCTCTCTCTATCTCTATCACAAACATATTTAAGTACATATTTGTATTTTGTACCTTAAAGTTCTAGAACAGGTTATGAGTTGATTTATGTCCTTTTTTGGTGATTCATCAGTTTTATTCAATGTCTTTTTACTCGCTTTGGCTACAAAACTCAGCTACCAACTTTGGGAAGTTACTTGGGTGTCTCCGATTTGACTCGCTCGATTCCGCACCAAGCTCAAAAATGGCCAAAAAAAGTTATAAAAAATAAGGGAAAAATCATTAAAAATACGTTAAAATATGAAAAAAAAAAGAGAGAAAATTATAAACAATAAAAATGTAAAAGATGAGAGAGTTTTTATAAATCTAAAAGCTGAGAGAAAGTTTTCATAAATCAAAAAAAGAAAAAGAAAACTGTTTAAAGATAATTTTCTTATAAAATGAGAAAATATAGAGAAAATAGGAAATATTGAAAACATATATGACCTTGATTTAATTAAATATGAAATCAATTTTAAATTAACTGTAATTATATTAATATAACATTAGTATAATTATGTATTCCTGGTTTTTTTTTGTATTAATATAATTTGCATAATTTTTGTTTTAAGTATGTATTAATATAATTTGTATATCAAGTTACTCCGGTGTGTTTGAGTCGACTTGCTCAAGTTGGGAAACAATGGTTTTCTCTTTTTTTCATGATTGCATATTTGCATGGAATGTACTCCATTATTTGACATCTTATGACATGGATTAATTGAGATGTATTTTTTGATGCTATAGGTGTGGTATTTCAGGCGTCTTATACTTGAGACACTTAGTGCTGATTTACATAAGGAAATGAGTTTCATCGAACGAATTGCTGAAAGTAACTCAAAGAACTACCAAATTTGGTAAGGTCATCCCTTTTTGTTGACTTTCGAGATTCTTGGAAATTCTTTTGGCCCAAGTTTTAAAAATTGCGGTGTACTTGTTAGAATCTATATTTTGTAAACCAAACATATGCTTGAACTAGTAGGTGATGGGCTTGTCTGGTTAAATCTATTCCTCTAGGTGAATCAAGATGAACTAGTTACTTTAGAAAAGGGGAAAAAATTATTTGCAGGGTCAAACCCCTTACAAAATCATTAAGGGGGTAAAAAAAATCTCCAATCAACATTAGAGGTTTTATTTATTAATTTTCGTTTTACTCTAGTACTTTATCAAGAATTATGTACCATAACGCCAAATTGCTCCTGGTTGGGGTTGGGAATAGGGCTGAGCATTTACTCAGTTTGTATCCGAAACCCATATTTCGAACCCATTCAAATCTGGGTATGGATCCAAGATTTGAATCCAATGGGTTGGATTTGGATTCGAATCGGATCTGGCTATAGGTAGTTCTGATCCGGATCCGACTCAATTATTAAAATATATAATATTATTGTATATATAAATATATATTATGAAAAATTGTTTCATGCGAGCTGGATCGCATTTCTACATAATGCGGTCCAGAAAGTGTAAAGCATCCATCTTAAAGATGGATGCAAGTAGGTGTTCCATCTGAAAACAATGGGAACTAGCTGTCCAAATGTTTTCTTACTAGAATTGATATT